CAGTAACTAAGTGAGTGATCTGTTACTGACTGAATGTGGGTTGTCCTGGTGTAGATGTGCGTGACAATTGTAGTGCAGCTTTTGCTTAAATGTCTGTTTTCATTTGCTAAAGGCTGTTTAAAGAAACTGCAAAAAGATCTGATTCTCCTCTCACTTACTGTAGAGTAAGTCAAGAGTAACCTCATTGAAGCCAATGAAGTTACACTGGTGCCAGCCAAATGTAAGCAAGAAGAGAATCAGGCCCTGTGTCTCAAACACTGAATTTCTGTAATGTATCATTTTATTTTTCTTTCTCTTTCCTAAGATGACCTTGAATGATGCCATGAGGAGCAAGGCAAGGCTGTCAATTACAGGAAGTACTGGAGAAAATGGACGTGTTATGACTCCAGAATTTCCAAAAGCAGTGCATGCAGTACCTTACGTGAGTCCTGGCATGGGAATGAATGTCAGTGTGACTGATCTCTCGTGATTGATAAGAACCTTTTGAGTGCCTTACACAATGGTTTCCTTGTGCGTTTATTGTCAAAGTGGTGAGAGGCATCCAGTATCTTGAAGACTTTTCTTTCAGCCAAGAAAAAATTCTTGTATTTGTGGAGTTCATCTTGGATTGTAATGAATGCTTGGTTCAAAACACAACACCATTTTCTACACAAGTTCAAGATGAAGCTTGACTGACATGCACAGCTAACATGGAAGTACTGTAATCTAACTGAAGTCGTTGTACAGGCAACACACCAGTTTCTGCAGCCACTGTTGTTAGTCCCTTGGTTCATATTGACTTAAGCACACTTGACATCAATTGCATCAAGATGTGACATGTTTTATAAGAAAAAAAAGTATAAAATGAAAAAAATATTTTTAGGTATTTTCACAAACAAAAACTGGCTTTTAAATAAATTTGCTTCCATAATGGTTGGATATGACAAAAGAAAAAAAAAAAAGAAAAAAAAAGAAAAAATCTAGACTACGGGGAAGTGGAATATGAAAATAAGGCTTAAGGCATCAGTACCGTATTTTTCAAAGCCAAATATGTAATGTTGAGAAGACAAGAAATAATGATTGAAAGGTTCAAATCTTGTAATTTAATATTGTTATTAAAACTTTGCTGTATATCCTATTCTTTAACATTTGGTGTTAATATAAAATTTACTTGGCGATGCTTGACATTTGAAATAAACTTTTTTCTATGGTTTTATTTGCAAGTGTTCCATTAATTTTACTAGCTACAGTTGGGTTTTAAAGAGTCTGAAATCTAAAAGGACACTGTCAAGGTTGGGTCAATGTTTCAGTTTTTGGCAGTGTCACCACTTCCAGCTCACTCAAATCTGTTCAATAGTATTTTCTGCAGATGAGCCCAAGCTGTGATGCTCAGATACGCTTGTTGAACTCTGAAGATCAAGGTTGTTCTGGGTTGGAGCAGTACTTGATACTGGCACATGAGGATGGGCGCTGTTTTAGAGCTCCTCTTAACTCTGACATGCAGAGACTTAATGATCCAAAGATTTGGTTGAAACCTATCTCTACTTTTGTACAGTTGAGTTCATAAGTATGTGTACAGAGAGAGAAGAGTATTGATAAAAGCTGATAAATGGCAAGCAGTAAACAGTGTTAAGTATTTTTTTAAAGAATGAAAAAAAAAGAGAGTTTTCAAATTGTTTCTTTAAGGAAACAGTTTTCAAACTGTTAAAAGGTAATTCTAAGCAGTAGCTAGTGAAGCTTTTGTGAAAAGAAAAACCCAAAACCTTGGCAATGTCTTTTTGAATTAAGATTGATAACTCGAATTAGATGCGAGTCTGTACTGATGAAAACTTTCCTGAATCTTAATCATTATGAGTATTCTTTGCTAGCTGAAGTTACCATACTTTTTAATTGTGTGTATTTAAAAACAATAACTACTTAAAAAGCAAAAAGGAATCCTAGGAGGGGTGCAATAATATTAATTTAAGTGCTAATGCAAATCAAAGTAACATCGTGTTTCTCTAGCTTTCCCTGTAGATACAATTCTGTACATTTGGTTGAAAAGCTTACATTTTTCTGCATTGTGGATACATTGCCTCATGCAGTATTGGTAAATCTCTTTTATTTTGGAATTAAATAAAAATTTAAATATGACTTGCAGTTTTAGTTGGAATCAATTTCTTAGACTCAAGTATAATGTTTGCTGAGCATTGGAGAAGGCAGAGCATTTATCAGAAACTTGAAGTCCCTTCTCATGGTACAAACTCTGAGCCTTTTTCTGCAAGGATGTGAACACAGTGTATACTCTCAGCGTGGTCAGCAAAAGAGGTGTATACAGTGTTTTCAATGTCTGTCTTAAAAATACTTCTCCCCAGTTAAACTAAATAATTTCTTGGCATATCTGTAATTCATAGGTGTTCTGTGCATTACTCCTCATCCGGAATGTTGGGGAATGCATTTGGATTTTTAATGTTCAATGCTAGAATGACCAAACTAAAATAATATTCATATGGTAATTAATTTTTTTTAAAGTAGAAATGCATTACTGTATACAGTGGAAAGCTATTTATTGTACCTCTGGGCTCATTCCTCTAAAAATCATAGCATAAAAAAAAAAAAAAATCTTTGTCAAGCCTGAACTGATGTATATAACTGAAATAATGTAAAGTTATATTTTCATGTTTTTATACTTAACAACATGATGGGAATACATAATGTATGAGTATTTCAATTCAGATAATATTGATTGGATAATACACATCTCAGTTAAAAAAGCAGTAATAGTAGTTTAATATCCATGTTAAGAGTACATCAGTATATTGCTATATAAAGTATGTCTGTGTGCATTTAAGTGAAAAGTAGTCAAGAGTGATGAAAGCTGTCCAAGGGTTTTTTATTCCTTTTTTTATGAAAACTGTTATGGAGCAACCAAAATGTTTATGAACTCAAACTTGTGTAAATTTCAAAATGTCCTTTTACTGTAGCTTTTTGTTTACAGTACAGTATCTTATTTTCTGCTTTGTTAAATGAGTAACGGTACAAAGCTGGACATACACTTTCTAAGACATTAACGTTCTCGTTTTTTCATGTAAACTTATATGACAGAAAATGCTTCTGATTTTATTTTTCAATCTAACACATGGCTTTTCTGGAGTGTTGTATAAACTTCAATCATACATAAAAAATCTTCTTAAAAAAGGTAAAAGACCTTTCATGTCTGCTTAGTATTATTGAAATCTGGTTTCTTATTTATTATAAATGTATTTTTCTAAGATTTTCCATAGGGTAAACCTGTTTGTCCCCACAGACATGAAATTTCCTTGAAGAGTTTATGAAGTTTCTTCTTTTCTTGAATGAAGTTTCAATGAAGAGTATAAATCTTCTCCCAGATCATCTTATCACTCAAGGATAGATTTACTGTAGTTTTCATCATTGTTAAATGAAGTAGTGAAACTTTTTTCCCCAACAATATAATTGTATCTCTGGACTGTGACCTTCCTGATCATAGTTACAATGGCAGTGTGATTGGTTCATAAAGATAGGGAGTTAAGTATCTATTCAGTAACACTACCTAAAAAAATTTGAGTTTAAACCAGTGCATTTTTAATTGAGCTAATTGTTGATGTGTCCAAAGCAAAGAAAAAAACTCTGAAAAATGGCAAGTACTTAGGTGTCACTAGAAGAGGTGTAGTACATCACAGTTTACTGTAATGGCAAACAGATTGAAGAGATTCACCATGTGAAAAGTTCAACATTTTCATGTAACCATGTATTTCGCCTGTTAACAGAGTGTGTTTCTACAGTGTCAGCTTCTTCTTTGGCTGATTGATGTAGACAATGTCTTTACATGATAAATAATTGTATTTTAAAATTCAAAGAGATAGTTTCAGCTATCCTTTGGTGCAGTTAGTTATAAGAATAGAGCAGTCACCAGCAAAATAGAATCGGCAGCATCTGTTGCACATGATATTCCTGAAAGCTACTCAGATCTGTTTTCACAGCATCAAAGCTTATTGTTTATTAAATATTTTCATTTAAGCTGTCCAGGGATCACAAAAAATTTGCTCTGAGAGATCCATCAGGTCTAAATTATCTTAGAAATATATATAAGCACTTAGAATGAAATTAAGCAAGTGACTTAGCTGTGGACTTAATTTGGAACATTTCGCCTTACGTCAATTTCTGTAGGTGGTAGAGAATACTATACACCCGTGTGAGACGCAACAGAGAATTGAATAATTTTTTTTTTTTTGTAAAAAAGTGGCAAAAATGGAACAAAGTAAGATAAAATATGAAAAATCTGAGACTTATAGCTGTAACTGCTTGCAGCTTTCATGTGTCATGAGGCCAGTCCCCAATCTTACTGTTAGGGCATATTACATGATGTGTTTTCTTTCTTTCTCTTCCTTTCTTTCCCTCCCTCCCTCCCTCCCTCCCTCCCTCCCTTCCTTCCTTCCTTCCTTCCTTCTGACACTTCCTTCCTTCCTTCCTTCCTTCCTTCCTTCCTTCCTTCCTTCCTTCCTTCCTTCCTTCCTCTTTCTTTCCACTCTTTCTGTCTTTCCTCTTGCCCCACTACGCACAGTTAGTCTAATGCATACTTTTTCAGCTTTGTAGGCTGATAGGAAATGTAATTACTGTATATAATACTTGCTATAATTGACTTGGTAGTCATTAAAAATATTTATTATAGGTCATGTCATAAGTCTATTACAGCAGCAGTGATGCTAAAGATAGGAAAGGTTATCTAAGCTAAATCCTTTATCCAAGTGGCATCCACTGAACTTGTTCTTTTGTCAGTCTCCTTTATACATCTCTTATTGCTAATGAAAATTTAGCTACCTCTGTAAACAGCTCAGTGCTTTACTTTCCTCAGTGATAAGAAAATTCTTTATACATAGAACAAAAGCACTTAATTTCATGAAATTGTCCAGTGAATGACTTTGTAGCATTTGCCCAAAGTTCTTCCTCCCTTTACACTTGCAACTCCCACTCATCAAGAAAGGACCATTACTACATGCTGGGCATAGAGAAAAAGTTTACATGTCATTTGTCATCATTTTTAACAAATACTAAATTTTAAGGCCGACTCATCTGTGTTAAATAAAGCATTTAATCCTACTAGTCTTCCAATTGCGTAATGAGATTTAAAATACGTGTTTAAATTGTGTTTTATTTATTTTCTTTAAATATCCCAAACCTGATTTTGAAAATGTTTCTTATTATAGAGTAGGAAAGGGCTGCTAAACTAGTGCCTAGACCAGCCCATTGGAATCTTCTTCAACTAGTTCCTATCTGGAGGTGTGGGAAGCACAAATAAAGGGGTTGCAGTGGATCCCATGAGCTGTGCAGGACCACGCTGATTCCTTTGCCTCTTTCCATGCAAAGGCAAGCCGGTGGAAAAAGCTAAAATAGGATGTGGAGAGGTGGTTTTATGCCATTCTTCTGTCCCCCCTCAATCCTTTAATATAAAGGTCTCTTCAAAAGAGACACTGGAGAGGATTTATACCTGTTTGGTAAGGATAGAAAATAACAAATATAATTTCTTTTTCTAAAAGCTCACTGTTTGTGCAGTTTTAAAATGATGATGTTGTATTTCAGTTTTTGGTAAACATCTTAAAATTGGAGAATAAAATCTCCTTCAGAGCCTTTCCTTTTAGTAATCATAGAATCATTGAAGACAGTGGGTTGGAAGGATGTGAAAGATCACCTTAAAATTCCAATCCCCCTGCTGAGGGCAGGGACACCTTCCCCTAGGCCAGGTTTCAAGCTTCTTAGAAGGAGACAGCCCAGAGTACTTCTGGCATGTTGATGCTTTACTGAAGCATCAAGAGCATCTTGTTAAAAATGGAGTGGAGGCTGTTATATAACAACTTGTAACCCAATTTTCAAGTTATGTTGTTACTGCCTACCCTTCAGCACCATATTCTGTGAGTTTAGAGAAAAATGTAATTAGAGAGGTCAAGCTATAGTTCTTACAATTAATAGTATGATGCTTTACAAATAGCATAGTATTTCTCAGTAGTTGCTTTCCTTATGAGTCACTATGAAAGGCAAATGCATTTGAGGTTACCTCATACTCATAAAGAGCAGAATATTTTTTTCTGGTTTTCAGTCAGAAGATTTTTTTATATTGTCGCAATGACTAAAGACACAATAATACAAACAAAAAGACAATAATACAAACAACGTAATTTCTACTTAGCTGTTTGCCTTTGTGTTTCTTACT